GCGGAGGGGGGGGGGGAGAGGGAGAGGGGGGGGGGGGGGGGTCGGTGGCGGTCTGGCCAGCGTTAATTCAAACTCGACAGGCGGAATGACTATTATGCGGTCTTGTCCAATCGGCTTCCAAGGGAGGTTATAAATAGCGGTCCCGTGCAAATGCCAGCCTGTGGCAGTTTCATTGCAGAAGGAGGGGCCGCACCGGTTGCAGGGGCGGTGGCACCGGTGGTTTGGGCGAGGTCACCCTGCCAGGCTAAGCTTGCCTGGATTGTGTCCTTGTTGGTATGTCTCACTTTAAACGCGTGACTTGTTTACGGTTGCAGGAGTCCTTTATTTGCCCTATGGTGCAGAGCAGTCCTTAAGGTGTCTGTTTGTCAGGAGTCTTGTAGGACAGGCTATTAGGAGCAGTTGGGCTTCTGTGTCTGCTTTTATTTAAAATGCTCCCTCTTCTCCATTGCATCCCTTTTATTTGTGATCCTTGACTTTTTTTTTAATCGAAGAGTTTAGTACTACTTTCTTATCAGCAAGTTGCTCAGGCTGTTTATCTTTGCTGATAGAATCAGTTTTCCACAAGGCTACACAAGAATTTTATTTTCAAAGGAAATTTCCTGAAACTACCTGGAGAATGTTCAGTAGGTACCCAGGCTTCAGGTACTTACCTCTAGTTATTCATTCATTCAGTCAAAAAGTACTTACTGGCTTTCTCCATTTTGTGCAAAGCCCTGGGCCAGAAGTAATGCCAGAGTGAATATGACAGCTAATAGTTTACTGTGGTCTTTTAATCGTCATAGCCACCCTATATTGTAGGCACAATTTTCCCCATTTTAAAGATGACGAAATCAGGTATAGAGAAGTTAAGGGACTTGCCAAGGTCACACAGGTACTAACTTGCAGAGTGGGGGCTTCTGATCCAGAGTTTAAGCCTTTGTACAGTGCCCCCTCTTCAGGCCGGGTGCTGGCTCTCAAGGAGATAGTAACTCAAATAACTTACATTCAATAGTAATATAAATGCCATCCTAAAAAAAACTTTTTTTTTTCAATTTTGAGTTGTCAAGTTTTCCTTTTATTGCTTCAAAGCCACGAAAGCAAATGAATGATAAAACATCAGAGGGCTTTAAAATGAAGATGGGGGAAAATGTATATTTTGTTGTTAACATGTACTAGCCAGTAGTAACATGGTATAAATCTTCTCTGGCTTTCAGAGCTGTTTGGCTTAGTGACAGGGCCCGCTGTTGTCCACCACTAACTCCTGATCTCTGCCTTTTATGTTCAGAACTTGAATTAAGTGGAATTAGCCTCTGAAGGTCGTGGTTCTACGGATGCCCCTTTCAGGGATCCACACAGCATCAAATTACCATTTTCAGACTTCAGGCCATGAAATAAGACTTTGGTTTTAATGCATTATAAAATCTCATCTAATAAAATTTCGAGGGCCTAGAAATAGCTCTCCGGCGCTCTTATTACAAATAGTTGAGCAGACTGAGGCTCAGAGAGAGTCCTGTCACTCAGCAAGTGAGTGGCCGACTTAGACCTGTACAGGGCTCTGTTAGAGCTAGCTCTGTTCTTCTGTCGAGGTCTGGGAAATGTGTCAGCCCTGTGAAAATGGTGGTTGTTGGGGAACTGACATGGTCCAAGAAGAGAAATTCTAGTAAGTGGGGAGGTTGGGATAGGAGTAGGTCATTCGATGATGGCAGGCAAAATATCTGTAAGGTAAGAACTGTCTTTTATGTGTCTTCGAATTTCCCTTAGTTCTGGGCATGGATTCAGCGAATGTTTTGATTGAGTGGCTGGCTTTTGAACTCATTTGCTCTCCATTCTCAGCCATGAATAACCCTAGATGTGACCCATGAATGAATGATAAAGGTATTTATGGGTCACTTGAATACTTTAGGACTGAAATGAAATGAATGAAACCCGGAAGCTTTAAAAATGCAAAACTATCTACTGAGATAGAGTGAATTATTCATGCACATTTTAAGTTGCATGCCTGAACACATGTTGCTATCTCCCTATTCTGTACATATTTTTTTTTGAATTTTATTTTCTTCATCACCAATTGCCTTTCTAATTCTTTTTTTGAGCCCCCTAAGAGGACTTGATCTCCTTTGATACCTTGAAGAACTCTTGAACTTTTGTTACTCTGCTTTGTATTGTTATTGACTTCTCTTATCTTCAAGTGTATGACTTATTACAGTTTGAGTCAAAGTATGTATCTAACAGCATTGTCTTCAAGACTTTCTTCACTACGGGGTTGTTAAAAGTCTTCTGAATAAGCACTGCTGGAGTTGAGATTTTCTATTGGTGAGGTTGCTTTCTGGTATTTTAAAGAAGTTTCTTTAGGGAGTTGTGGCATCAGTTCTGAAATAAAAAATGAGCTAAACCTCTTTCTCTGGCATCTGGAGGAGTGTTTGTGGAGTCTGCTGGGATCAGGTGCTTGGTCTTGTGAGAACCCACATGTTGGGTCAGAACCCAAAGGCAAAGTTGGATTAGCTGAGTTTGATAAGCGTTTGAGATCCTCTGATGCTTCTCATTCTTAAAGGAAAGAAAAAAGTGGAGGAATGTTGGGAATTGTGGGGATGGTAGGAGAGCCTTCCATGCATCTCTGAGGGACTGTAGGGAGGGCAATGGAGGAAGGCATGGAACCTCAATAACAAACAGCAAAGGCCAGTGACACTTCACCCACCTCAGTTATAGTTAGCAGAAAGTGGCCACCTATGAGAACCAATGACAAGAGATCATAGTTATACCTACATCTACAGATATAAGCCTATGTGATGAAGATGCTATGGACTTTTTCTTTATTTTCCTTGGAATCATATGAATGCCTGTTTAATTTTCTTTTTTCCTTTAGGTTTATTTCCTTCATGAGAGCAAAAGAGAAAGAGTGAGGGAGCGAGGGGGAGAGAGAGAGAGAAGCACTCTCAACAGGGTCTCGTGTCAGGATCATCCTCCCCCTTACCTGCAGCCTTACCAGCCAACAGAATCATGGGTGCACCTGCTCTGTGTGTACAGGTTGACCTGGAACTGAAGTTGCTGTCTTCCATATGGGTCCGGCTTTGCTTGAGCCGAGTATTATTGCTATGCCACCAAGCTGGCCCTGCACAATTATTTTGAGAGGTGCACTTCCTGGCAAACATAAATCTTGTGTTCATTCAGCCAGCCTTTAATGGGGGTCTTTCTGGATGCACATCCTGCTGCACTGAATAATGTACTGATGTTCTCTCTATAACCTGCTGGCTAAATGTACATCCCTATTCTGTAGTACTATACACTATGTTAGGTACTTTAAGAGAAATTCAAAGGTAATGTATACAATTTTTGCTGGACATGCTGACTTAGATAACTTTCATGTAAGATAATGACTTGACTGTTTAGCAGAGTGTGTGTGTTAAATTTCTAGCTTCATTAAGGGTGAAATAGACTTATATAATCTAGGCTTGAATTAATAGCAAAGGTTATACTCCAAATTTTGGGGAGATTCTTAGTTTTAAATACCTGAACTCGAAACGTTGAAGCATCTTCTGTAAGTAAAGGTCTTGACACATTCTTCGTAGATGCCCACATATAACTATTATATTCTAAACTCTATAGATTAGTATTTTTTATGTTTTTGTTTTTCAGCAGACAAAGTACGTTTTTTTCTTGGCATATAAACATTTTTTTTCCTTTTGTCTTATTCATTCCACTTCAAGGAAACTGGGGATTCAGAAAGTTGGAAGCTCGTATCAACATGGCAAACCTACTGAAAACAGTGGTGACTGGCTGTTCATGTCCTTTGCTTAGCAATTTGGGGTCCTGTAAGGTTCTACGTGGCAAGAAGGATCTTTTACGGACATTTCATACTCATCAGGTGCTGTGGTGTAAAGCCCCTGTAAAACAAGGTAAAGTCTTACTTCAGTGATTGTAAATCAGACTTACAAGTCATTGGACCTAATAGATCTCCTGGTGATAAAAGGAAAGCCATGGGGACCAGCAGTTAGCGTAATGGCTATGTCGCTGGACGCCCATGTAGTCTACCGCGATTCGCGTCCCGGACCTGGTGGCTTGAAACTCATGCTGGGTGTGTGTGTGTGCGTGCCCAAGATCCTGAGAGGAGAAGGGATTGTGGCGTGGCCATCCCCCCTGGGGGGTGATTTCTCACTTTCTGTCTGTCTGTCTCTGTCTGTCTGTCTGGCTAGCGCACGTGCCCTATGGAAAAAACCTCTCCAAAAGAAAAAAAAAGAAAGGAAAGCCATGCAGTATTGTAGTCTGGTGCCTGTGAGTAATCATTTAAAATAAAACATAAGTGAGTACTGCCATGTTTTTCCGTGTATGAAAATCAGTTCCTGTTTGCCAGTGCTAACAGAGAAGAAAAGGTAATAGAAAAAGAAAAATGATAATAAAACTAGTTGAATTGTACCTGAGAGCCCATTGCTCACAGTAGCCATTTCTTTGAGCAGCTTTTTCTCAGTTCTAGTCAGCAGTAGAGAATTGTACCATTTAGAGCTCATTTGTGTTTAGGATTTAGGAAGGAAGTGTATGAATTGACCTGTATTAATATTTTCCAATTTAGTAAATGGAAACTATTGTAGTTGCTCAGGTCAGAAACTTGGGAGTCATTCTACATTTTTCTATTGGGTATAGATCAGCTCTGTTGCATATATAGAATCTTTCTTCTTCTCACTATTGCCACTTTAAAAGAAAAGAGTTTAGGGACCAGCAGCTGGCATCATGGTTAAGGTGCTGGATCCTATGTGGCCAGCCTCAGTTGGAGTAATGGACCTGGCAACTTGAAATTCACACTGGGCGCATGTGCATGTGTGTCCAAAATCCTGAGAGGAGACTGGAGAAGATAAGATATGCAGTGTGGCCATCCCCTATGGGAAGTGGTTTTTCACTTTTTGTCTCTGTCTCTCCAGTGAGTACACATACCCTATAGCAAAAAATCTTTCTCTCAAAAAAAAAAAAAAAAAAGAAAGAAAGAGAGCTTATTCATTCATTTATTTTAAGAGGAATGAGAGAAAGAACCCCTAGTAGGGCCCCACAGCACGGTCTATCCCTGGCCTCAGCTGGTCCAGAACACGGGCACATAGTGCTTGCTTGGTGTGCTCAGAGGGATCCCAGGATGCGAGTCCAGGACATTTCCCATGTGAACCAAGCTGCCCCTACTGTGCTACTGCCTAATGCCACTGTTTCCACTTTTATCATGATAGTCCAAGCCACCATTATTTGTCACCTAGGCTGATGTACCAGTTCCCTAAACAGTCTCTTGTGCTTTCTACCTCTGCACTCCTACAGTCTGTTCTACAAAGGACAAGAAAATGCTTTTTTTTTTTTTTAAGAATTATTTTATTTTACTTTATTTATTTTATTTTAATTTGACCAGAAATGTACAGAGTCAGAGAGAGAGAGAGAGAGAGAGAGAGAGAGAGAGAGAGAGAGAGAAAGAGAGAAAGCAAACTGCCAGGTTCGGGACTCATATGACAGTTGGCCACATGGGAGTCAGGACCTTTAACCACCCCACCACATACCGGCCCCAAGAATGCTTTAAAATGTAAGATCATGTCACTCCTTTGCTCAAAATTTGTCGCTAGCTTCCTAGCTCAGAGTAAGAGCTAAATCTTCCAGTGGCCTCTAAGGTTTTCCCTGGTATGATTACTACCTACTTCTGTTCTGGGTACAGTCCAGGAGGAGAGGCCAAAAGGTGGCCCTTCGAAGCTGAGATGACTCCTTTTCAGTAGTCTTGCCCAAAGACACTCTCCACCCCCCAGCACTTCTTTCTATACTTTTTTGGCCAGAACTCAGATGTGTAGTCATATGTAGCTAAGAGGGAAACTCAACATTTAGTCTTTTATTCCTGATGGTGACATATCCACCTAAAATGGCACTATGTTACTAAGGCAGAGGAACAGGATAGATATTTGGGTGGCAACCTTTGTCATAAAATGACTTCATTTTTTAAGTTTGTAGGACTGTTTGTATTTTTTAAAGACTTCCTAAACTGGTAGGTTTTTCTGAGCACTTATGTCTGCCTCAAATAGTTTTCACAGCCTCTTTTCTTGTTTTCAGGTGACACTTCACTATTGGCAGGGTACCTGTCCCTTAGAACTCCAACTTTGTCTTAGGCTGTTTTATTTTTAAAATGATTTATTTAATTTTATTTGTCATTATTGTTATTGTTATTTTAAAAATTTGCTGTAGGGCGTGTGCACTCACGAGAGAGAGAGAGAGAAATCGCGAAAGTAAGCTGCCAGATCTAGAACTTGAACCATGGTTGGCAGTGTGGGAGTCCAATGCCTTAACCACCATGCCACCTGCTGGCCCCTAGGTTTTTTTCTTTTAAGCTATTCTGGAAGGCCAAATTACCCAGTATGATCTTTATCTCTGAATACATAAAGTATTTAAAATAAATATAAATGTGTTGAGAATATGAGACTTTGTGAGTAAATCTGTGGAAATCAAGATCTATAAATTGATTATGTATAAGACAATTTTTGTTTGCTTAATTTCTGGGTTCTTGATTATTTCCTAGATTTTTTTTTTTAAGTTTTATTTACTTGTTCCATGAGAAAGAGGACAGAGGCACAGAGATAGCACCGTCAATAGGGTCCCAGTCTACTACCAGTCTCCCTGGTCCAGATCACTGGTCCACACGTGCACACATGGCATGCGCAGGAAGGTCTCTGAACCCAGAACCTTTTCTACGTGTGCCCAGTTGCATTACTATGGCACCACTGTGTGATCCTGCTAGATAATTATTATACAATCATCCTTAGAATCCTTGCGGAATTGATTCCGAGGCCACTGCCTTCTTCTCCCAACTGCAGATACCAAGATGTGCAGCTGCTGAAGTCCCTTCTGTAAAATGACATGCTATACAAACTACTCCTGTCCTCTGTATACTTTAAATCACCTCTAGATTACTTATCATGTCTAATACATTATAAATGCTATTTAAATCGTTGTTATACCATATTGTTTAAAAATTTATATTTTTTATGGTTGTAGTACTATCATTTTTGTTTTTTATAGTTTAAAAACATGTTCAATCTTTTTGACATTTGACTTGCTCAAAGAATGCTCCAGTGTTCACACGTATTTAATTGCTATGCCTTTTAAGTTTGATCTCCAGGTTCTCCTCCTCTTTTTTTCTATTAATTTACTCATTGAAAAGTTTAGTCATTGCCTTGTAGAATTCCCATCATTCCAAGTATGGCTGTTTGTATCCCCTTGGTATTGTTTAACCAGTTCCTCTGTGCTTGATCATACTCAGGTTTGCTTTTCTTTGGGCAAGAATAGAATACTTGCTTATTGGTACTGTATATTATCTGTTGTGTTATATCAAGAAGATTTGGAGAGGTTTTTTGTTTTTGTTTTTGTTTTTGTCTTTTGGCTATAGGGCATGTGTGCTTGCCTGGAGGACAGAGAGAGACAGAAAGCAAGAAACCACCCCACCTCCCAGGGGGAATGGCCACACTGCAATCCCTTCTCCTCCACTCTTCTCTTGGGATCTTGGGCATGCACACATATGTGCCTGGTATGAGTTTAAGACACTGGGTCCAGGACTCGAACTGCGGCTGACTACATGGGAGTCCAGCGACATATGCATTATGCCAACTGCTAGTCCCTACATCATGAAGATTAATCAATGAGTTTAGGTATTATTGTGATCTACCTGTTTTAAAGTTTCTATCAGTTTTCACTCAGAGATTAAAGCAATCATTTACTTTATGGTCTTTAACTAAATCCATGATATTTCAAAATGGTGATATTTTACATTATGTCTTCATTTAATCTCTAAATAGTTATAGAATGAAAAATATGTCCTCTTTATTAAAATTAAAAAAAAAATCTTAGTTATCTTGAAATTATACTGGAGGGACCAGCAGTTGGCATAATGGCTATGTTGCTGGGACTTCCATGTAGCTGACTGCAGTTCGAGTCCCGGACCTGGTGGCTTAAACTCACACTGGGCACGTATGTGTGCATGCCCAAGATCCTGAGAGGAGAATGGAGGAAAAGGGATTGTGGTGTGGCCATCCTCCCGGGGGGTGATTTCTCGCCTTTTGTCTCTTTCTGTCTTTTGGGCTATTGCACATGCTCTATAGCAAAAACCTCTCCAAAAAAAAAAAAAAAAAGAAAAAGAAAATAATACAAGAAAGATGAGATGTATGTGTCTCCCCCCCCCCTTTACTTACTATTGGGTTGTTGGAAAAATTATGATGCTTTTTTGCATAGAAAAATACATCAGGACTTTTCTGATGACCCTGTAGTTTGGGTAAGAATTAACTGGTTTCCTTATGTATTAGTTTTCTATTCCTGCCATACCGAATTATCACAACTTAGCATCTTCATGCAGCGCAAATTTATTATTTTCCTCTTCTGGAGGTCAGAGTTCAAAACTGTTCTCATTGGGCTTAAATCAAAATGATGACAGGGCTGCATTTCTTCTAGAGGCTATAGGAGAGAAATTGTTTTCTTGCCTTTTCCAGTTTCTGGAGACCACCTGCCTTCTTTGCCTCATGACTTCGTTCTCCATTTCTTTTCTTCTTCTTCCTTTTTTTTTAAAAGAATTATTTATTTAATTTATTTGTTATTATTATTATTTTTCTTTTTTAATTTGACCAGAGAGAGACAGAGAAGAGAAAGGGATAGTGAGAAAGCAAGCCACCAGGTCCAGGACTCCAACCAAAGTCAGCCATGTGGGAATCCAGCACCTTAACCACCACGCCATCTGCTGGCCCCCTTTCTCCATTTCGAGGCAGCAACACAGCTTTAAAAAATTGCTCTTTGAATCTTCTGCTTCTGTGTTCCACATTTAAGGACCTTTCGTTTTTTCTTTTATTTTTTTTTTTATTGAGTGACTTTTTATAGGGCGCATGCGCTCACCAGAAAGACTGAGAGAGACAGAGAGACAGAAAGGGAGAAATCACCCCCTTCTGCTCCATTCTCCTCTCAGGATCTTGGGCATGCATGCACATGCGCCTGGCATGAGTTTAAGCTACCAGGTCCAGGATTCAAACCGTGGTCAGTTACATGGGAGTCCAGCGACACAGCCATTACGCTAACTGCTGGTCCCAGGACCTTTCTGATTATATTGGGCCTATATAAATAATCCTGGATAGTCTTCCTATTTTAAAGTTAGCTATTTAGCCACCATCATTTTATCTGCTACCTTAATTCCCCTTTGCCATGTATTGCAATATATCCACAGGTTTTAAATATTAAGACATGGATTTCTTTTATCTTGTTTAAACATTTGCAATAGGGCACCTGTATTTACCAGAGGGAGAGAGACAGAGAGAAAGAAGGAGAGAGAGAGGGAATATGAGAAAGCACCCTACAGGGGAGATGGCCACATCACAAGTCTTTTCCCTCTATTTTCTTCTCGGGATTTTGGGCACACAGGCACCCTTGTCTGGCATATTTCTTCAGGCCACTGGGTCTGGGACTCAAACTGCTCCCTTGGCCATGTGGGGTCAGTCCAGTCACCTTAACCACTGTGCCATCGGCTGGCCCAGGACTGGATTTCTCTGGAGGCCTTTATTTTGTTTACCATAAACTATTTCCTTCAATGAATGAGACTTTTAAAAAATATTTATTTTTTTGAGTTTTATTTTATTATTTATTTTCTGGAGAGGTTTTTCTTTAGGGTGCATGCACTCTCCAGAAAGACAGAGAGAGATAGAGAGACAGAAAGCTAGAAATCACCTCCCAGCGGGGATGGCTACGCTGCAATACCTTCTCCTCCATTCTCCTCTTGGGATCTCGGGCACGCACGCACATACGCCTGGCATGAGTTTAAGCCACCGGGTTCTAGGACCTGAACCACAGTTGACTACATGAGAGTCCAGCAACTTAGCCATTACACTAACTGCTGGTCCCTATTTTTTGAGTTTTAACACCAACTCATGGATTTTAGCATCTTTGAATGTATTTTACTGCATTGCATTAGTCTCCTTCTTGATGCTCGAATTATCGCCTATTTGCCCAGTGCAATCTTTCAGGTTTTCTCCTAAATATTTTTGAAGTGACTTGAGTCATTTTTGGTAGCTTTCTTGATTTTTGGCATATAAGGCCTGGATAATTTGAGGTTGTCAGATAAGTTAATTCCAGGCAAATGTATGCGATTTAACTTTGCATATCAATCTAAATCTACCTTTTTGTCATTTCCTTCCTCTATTTTAAGTAGGGAGTTAGAGTCATCATTTATTTAACCTTTGATTTATTATACATTTTTACTGTACAAGTAGTGTGGGATCTAAGACTATGTTCAAATCCAGACATTTCTAGATTGACTTAATTTCTCTAAGGTCTCACTTAATAAGTTGCCCTATAAAGATAATTTGATTCTTTTTGTATTTTATATATATTTGGAGTTAAGGTTCTTAAATAGTAAACCTTATATATTATAGAAAGTTACTCTTTATTAGTAAAAATGTACTGATGCCCACACATTGAGTAAAACAACATAAGAAACTGAAGTTCTTTAGCTAACACTGGCCTGAATTAAATGTGAATACAAGTCTGTCATACATGGGTTTTAAAAATTTTATTAATTTAATTTATTATTATTGTTTGATTTGCTATAGAGCACATGTGCTCTGGGAGGGAGAGAAAGCAAACAAGTTGCCAAGTCTAGGACTCGAATTGAGGATGGCCACGTGGGAGTCTAGTGTTCCCAACCACCGTGCCACTTGCCAGCACCAAAACATAGGTTCTTTTGCATTATAAAGAATAGAATAGGAGCTAGCAGATGGTGTAGTGGTTATGTCACTGGGCTCCCACATGGCTCACTGTAATTTGAGTCCTAGACCCAGTGGCTTGAAAATCACATTGGGGGACCAGCAGATGGCATAATGGTTATGTTGCTGGACTCCCACATAGTTGACTGTGGTTTGAGTTCTGGACCCGGTGGCTTAAAACTCATGACAGGTGCATGTGTGTGTGCACCCTAAGTCCTGAGAGGAGAAAGGATTGCAGCATGGCCATCCCCCTGGGGGGGGGGATTTTCTTGCTTTCTTTCTCTCTCTCTGTCTGGTGAGTGTATGTGCCCTATAGCAAAAAATCTTTCTCTAAAAAAAAAAGTGCGTGCATGCCCAAGCTCTCAGGGAGAAAATGGAGAAGAGATTGTGGCATGGCCATCCTTCCTGGGGGATGATTTCTCACTGTCTCTCTCTCTCTCTCTCCCTCTCCCTCTGGTGAGCACATGTGCCCTAAGACAAAAACTTCTTAAAAAAATATAAAAAAGACTTGAATCACATTAGGTTATATTTTGTGATGAGGGTTTATTGTGTGGATTTGTTGGAAATATAGGGGCCCAGAAAGCGGGTTGTGGAATGTGACTTTGGATCCACAGGTATGACTTATCTTCTGTTTAAATATCTACTACTGATGTTTCTTACCACTGTTACCACTGACCTCTCTTTGAATGCCAAGAAGGGACTTCGGGTATGGCAGGCCATCAGAGTATCTAGTATAAGACTGCTTTTCACAATAACCAATTACTTCTGTCTTTGTTAAAAGTAAGGATAGAGAAATGATAACTCAAGAGAGTTAGTGTGAAGAATAGAGTTAGGATGCCGAGTGATTTCTCAACCCATTTTCCCCCCTAAGAATAAACTAAGCTTGGCATGTGCCTTGGAGATAACCACTTAGTTAAATAAAATATTTAGAGGGTGGACATAAAATATCTCATCCTGTATCAAAAAGAGGTCAAAGAACTATGATTATGAATCAGGAACATCATTTGAACTGTAACTTTTGTATGCAGTATATTTTGAAAAACAGATTGCCCATTTCCATTTTTTGAAACCTTTATTAAATAGTTGTTTTTTTTGTTTTTTTTTTTTAGAGGTTTTTGCTATAGGGCATGTGCGCTCGCCAGAAAGAGAGAAAGACAGAGAGACAGAAAGCAAGAAATCATCCCTCTGGGGGGATGGCCACGCTGCAATCCCTTCTCCTCCATTCTCCTCTTGGGATCTTGGACATGCACGCACACGCGTCCGGCATGAGTTTAAGCCACCAGGTCCGGGACTTGAACTGGAGTTGGTTACATGGAAATTCAGCGACATAGCCATTATGCTAACTGCTGGTCCCAACACTTTTAATTTTGTTTGTGTGTATGTACATATGTATATGAGTGCATATATATAAATATATGTGTGTGCGTGTGTATATATACATATATATATATGTTTGTTTTTGCCTTTCTCTGTTTGTAGGAACCCCATATAAGCAACTGACTGTTGGAGTACCCAAGGAGATTTTCCAAAATGAGAAGCGAGTGGCGTTGTCTCCTGCCGGCGTTCAGGCCTTGGTCAAGCAGGGTTTTAATGTTGTTGTGGAGTCAGGTGCAGGCGAAGCTTCCAAATTCTCAGACGACCACTATAGAGCAGCAGGTGCCCAAATCCAAGGGACGAAGGAAGTGCTGGCTTCTGATTTGGTGGTCAAAGTAATTGCTTCTTTTTCCTCTTACATTTAAGCATGCTGACCTTTTGAAATCTTTTAATGGGAAAGTTATATCACCTTCACTGGTGTAATGGAAAAAAAGTTCAGTAGAATTTTTATTAGGCATTGGGTCTAAGTTTAATCATGGGAAGAGAAAAAGTGATTTTTACATTTGCTGTATGGAAATTCCCTTTTAATTGACTAGGGGGAATTTGCGCTAGATGGTTCATATATATCCAGAATATCTGCAGGTGAGTACTTAACTACTGCTATAATGGAATGGAAAGAGGGCAAGGAACTCAGCCAGGGACTGAATGTACTTCTGATACCTGAAGACAAAGTGATTTATACTGACATCAGTGCTATTTCTAGAGAGGGCCTTCCTGTTCTGGACAAAGCAACATTGGGCTAAGTGCGGGGTAGCCTGATTTACCTACTTTAAAAGAGGTCTTCAGGTAGTACGTAATAGAACTTTGGTGTGCTTAACAACTTTGGAATTAAAATCGAAGTGAAAACTCATACAGAGAAAAGGGGAGGTAGCTCTATCAAGAGTCCAGCATAGATAATAACAAGAGTTGAGCAATAAATACAATCCTAAGTCTCCTGCAACCAATTGGGAAAACAGGGAGGTATGATAAGCATGATAAGGTATATAAGCATGATTTTCAGATTAAAATAAACTTACTTTTTCAGGAGGTGCAAGATTTTTTTTCATTAGTGTCTAAGAGGAATTAATGACATGTTTTTTTTTTTTTTTTTACATAAAGTCCATTGAATGACTTGACAAAAATCTTAAATGGTAGTATTTGCAGAAGACACAAAACAAGTTTTTGTATAGAAAATTAATAGTAAAATTTGTGATATGGAGTTATACTTGATTTTAACCAAAAGACCAAGAAGAAATGGAACGGAGATGAATTTTAATATAGCTAAAGTTTTTGAAAGTTTTAGATTTATAGGCCCTTGGTAATATAACTTGGTATATAGTGGAAGAACTTAGGAAACAAAATAAATATAATCCATCCCAATATATTGGGTCATTGGAAAAGTCATAGTCCATTTTTGAAAAGAAAAACATGAAAAAATATGTCTTGACTTTTCTGACAACCTAATATGTTCTAGAGATCAAAACCTTTGTCCTTCAAGAAAGGGTCATAAGGGTGCCTATAAATTTTGGAACCATGTTCCTTTTGGGCATTTACAATATGTATGCGTGTACTTAAAAGCAATCTGAGAAATCCTATCATATAGAAACTTACATAATTTTATATCAGCATTAATAAACTACTTGACCTTGGGCTCTCTCCTTTGAGTGAAACCTGTTTATATCCTGAGGAGCACATTCAGGAAACATTCTATTGGCTTGACTTACTTCGAGGTCAGCAGTTTGAGCTGAGCATTTATTTGATAGAGTCCAGTAGAACTGATTCAGAATTTTCTCCTGATTTTTACAAAATGTGTGTTACAGAGTTCATGGAGGAAAAACAGACCCTATCAAGGAGTTTTAATTAAGTTTTTAACTTAGAATCACACACATTACCAGATCAACAACTAAAATGGGAATAGTAGACAAAGATCTCGTGTAGGTAAATTGAAGTGATATGAAATTGTTGACCTGGTGTTTATGTATGTAAAACACGAGTCCCAGAAGCTGTGTTTTCTGTGTTTTATTTCTCTTTCTTTACCTTTTTTAACCTAAAAGCACTACTATGAACTAGAAACTAATGAAATATACATTTTAATTGAAGATTGATTTTAAACTTGAATATAAAACATACCTTTAAAAAATTTTAAATTTGGCTTTAAAACGTGGGCATTTGAAACTTTCAGGCATGTAAAGTGCATATTCATTGACTTATCGGGTATTTCTTTGCATAACAGAATATGTTGTAACTTTTTGCTTAAACCTAATTTAGCAAAACTACTAATTTGAATTGTGTTTGTCTATAAATAGACATATGAAATTTTAAGGTGACATGAATCTATACTTATTACCCTGAAGATTTTAGTTTACATAATTCTTAATGTGCCACCACTCCAAATATGAATGTATCACCACTGCCAAAATTTGCAAGAGTTGAATCTTTGAACACAGGACCAGACTCTCTTGTCTGTTTATTCTTATGTCTCTTAATTTTATCAGAGTAATAGGTGTTGGGGGGGGGACAGGTTTGTTACAGACCCTCATATTTCTTCACTTCTCTACAGTTCATTGTCAAACCTGTCCCAGCACTGTGTATTTCCCAGGTGCTTGAGCTCTGTACTCAAACTAGTCAAAGGTCATTAGTCCTGGGAAAGATGACTTACATTTTTGTGTGCCTTACTTTAAGAATTTAGTCAGAAACTTGTTGATGAAAGATTACTTCAGGAGTATTATTTTAATCACGGCATATTAGTTAAAGTGTTCTGTTTACTTAAAAATAGGATTTGTTCTATTTTTAATCTGTGATTTGACTTTCTTTCTCAGGTGCGAGCCCCAATGGTTAATCCGACACTAGGTGTTCATGAAGCTGACCTTTTAAAGACATCGGGAACACTGATTAGTTTTATTTACCCAGCCCAAAATCCAGACTTGCTAAACAAACTTTCCAAAAGAAAAACTACAGTTCTGGCAATGGACCAGGTTCCAAGAGTCACGATTGCTCAGGGATATGATGCATTAAGCTCCATGGCCAACATTGCTGGGTAGGTTGATTCTTTTTTTTTTTTTTTTAAAGAATTTTTAATTTTACTTATTATTATTATTTTTTAACTTATTATAGTCATTAGGGAGAGACAGAGAGAGGGGGAGAAAGTGAGAAAGCAAGCTACCAGGTCTGGAACTCAAAGCACAGTTGGCCATGTGGGAGTCCAGCGCCCCAACCACCACACTACCTATTAGCTCCAGTTCTTGATTCTTGATTCAGTTCAATACAAGCACACTGGTGATTCAGAAACATTAGTACAACAGCACTTCTCTTACACTGATTTTACTTGTATTAATTGCTAGAGATTGTAGCCTTTCAAAAGAATAATTTTATGACTCACTTTTTGTTTCAAAGTAATCAGATAGGAAATGAACTCTACTGTATACTCCTTTTGAATTTTTATAAATAACAGAGAAGTACTTTCATCCACCAAGGGAAAAAAAATCTATCAAGTTATTGTATGAGGAGTATACTGTATTTCATGTTTCCTATGTTTCATGTGTGTGTGTATATATATATATATATATAATATATGTTACTTTGAAATGGCCTTTTTGTTTTTGGAGAGGTTTTTGCTATAGGGTGCGTTTATTCACCAGAAAGACAGAGACAGACAGAGAGACAGAAAGCAAAAAATCACCCCCAGGGGGATGGCCACACTGCAATCCCTTCTCCATTCTCCTCTCTGGATCTTGGGCACACACGCACGCACACGTGAGTTTAAGCCAACGGGTCCAGGACTTGAACTGTTGTCGACTACATGAGAGTCCAGCGACATGGCCATTATGCCAACTGCTGGTCCCTGAAATTGCTGTTTTAATAGGTCAGAAATGGCTGAATATTGTAGTTTCATATGGCCGAATCATAGTAGGAGATTTTCTATCTTAATAAGTTTTGCTCAGATAAATTCATAAAATATCAAATAAGGAAGGTCTGCACTAGAGGAAGTTTCATCTACTGTTAAAACCCATATTGGAAACTGATGGTTATGTCCTCTTATTTTTTTTTAAAGAATTATTTAAATTTGTTTATTATCATTATTTTAATTTGCCATAGGGCACAGGTGCTCACCAGAGAGAGAGGGAGAGGAAAAGGAAAAGTGAGAAAGCAAGCTGCCAGGTCCAGGACTTGAACTGTGATCAGCCACCTGGACATCCAGCACCCTAATCACTACACCACTTGCTGGCCCCTATATTCTCTTATTTAAGACTGAAAAGATAATAAGCCTCATTTGTAAACAAACACTACATGGCCTGTTTATTGCTTGGAGTGCGGTGTTGAGAAAGTCTCTAAGGCCCGTTCTGTTGGAGGAATGTGACTGTGATTGAGTAATAACGCCCGCCATAGTGGCGAGATAGCGATACTCTGTAAATACAGTGGATTGCTGGCTTTGCCTTAGAGGGCGGGAAGATTTATTGGGGTGTTGGAAAAGTCTATGTATTTTCCTATGTTTTTCTATGCAAAAATGCATCATGGCTTTTCTGACAATCCAATAAAAATTAGATAATGCTTATGAAATCAGTTCCTCCAAGAAACTAATTAAATTCAATGTAAAGCATTAAAACCATTAGCAGTTGACAATTTGTTAATATGATCAGGGCACCAGTCAAAGAAAATATTAAGAATCTGTGCATGTAAAAAAGACTAATACGAATAAAGGCTTTTATAGAATAAAATACATGAGTCGAAGGTTTTCTTAGTTTTTATTTATTTATTTACTTGTTTATTTTGGAGAAGTTTTTGCTATAGGGCACGTGTACTTGCCAGACAGAGAGAGACAGAGACAGAGAGACAGAAACTGAGAAATCACCCCCCATGGGGGATGGCCACGCTGCAATCTCTGCTCCCCCATTCTCCTCTTGGGATCTTGGGCATGTACACACATGTGCCCGGTGTGTTTAAGCCACTGGGTCTGGGACTCAAACCACAGTCAACTACATGGGAGTCTAACAACATAACCATTATACTATCTGCTGGTCCTGGTTTTCTTAGGTTTTATATGTTAGGTGAGCATATCAGATATGCCACAGATTCTATTTTGTGTTTTAATTGTTCACTTTTGCTATGAATGACATGCAATAAGCAAAAATGGCAAGTTAAAAACACATCTTGTTGTTCTTAATATAATATGACAAATGGTTTGTTTGAAGACTTTTTGTGTATGTGGTGTAGATAATATATCAAGAGATAAATTGTGCCATATTTATTTATTTTGTGTAAGAGTTATAGTATGCAATGTGGGACTTAAAATTTTATGTAAAAAATGTACAATGTCAAGTTTTAAGGGTACCATTGATTTTTGTCACATGAAATGTGACAGAATTTATGTCGCAAATATGTCAGAATATATGTCACATGTATGTTTGTTAGAGTATATGTCACATATATGTGACAGAGAATCAAAGCTAGTAACTTTAGATCAGTAGTTTTAGCCACAGAATATTTTGGGCAAAGAAATACTATGAGATAATCAAAATATATCCAATAAGAGCTGAGCAACTTCCTTGCATTAAAAAGGGGAGAGGAGAGCC